GTAGTAGTAGTAGTAGTGGTGGTGATGGTAGTAGTGGTAGTGGTAGTAGTTTCTACTGGCGGCCTGATGTAGCAAGAGCCCATGAATCTGATACTGGTCAAGGTCATTTCCAGCCCTGCGGCTCGGCTGCAAGGCAGCTCAGTCCATGCGTTGATCGGATCGGAGAAAGCCATGTGGAAGAAACATGCCAGAGTATGACCTTGTGTAGACACTGCAGTATGGATAAACAGCATCATCAGTCCAGTATCGTAGAGTATAGTACCTTTAGAGCAAAGTAAAGTATCGTGTCGTATCGCGTGGTACATGTATCGTTTTTCTTAATGCATGGCACAGGCAGTGCATGCTTGCAGTAAGGGGCTTCAAGCTTGGAGTCGCTATGCACACATGTTTAAGACCATATTTTCGGCGAGACCATGCTGCAAATCTACGCGGCTGGTCCATCGGGATGGGCTGGCATATTGGGCATATATACATAAAGACATGTGTCTGAAGAAATGAAGACAGGGACTCATACATGAGCTATATTTGTATCTATATGTATATAAGACTATATGCAGCCACATCATTGTGTATTACATATGCACATATACATATACATATACATACATATATATATATATCTGTGTGTATCAACCTGTGTGCATGTGTTTAAGAGGTTTGTTTGTCTCTCGTTCGATTATTCGTCGAAGATGCTGGATAGATCTACAAATGGCAAGTCTTTGCCACGAGAGATGCTTGTTGCTCTCAGGAAGACAAAGTCGGGGTCCTTCTGTACGGTGTCCGGGAGAAGCAAAACCCCAACAACTTTGATGGCATTCGACTGCTGCTGGAGCGTACCGGGTGTGTCATGAACTACAGTAAGAGCTCAGGCTTGCCCATGAGAAGACTTCTTCCTTCCATCTTGAAGTTGCATGCAAGTGGTCGGACGGTGATCGTGTCCATTTATTCCTTCAATGATCAGTTGCGGCATAGAGCCTGTCGAGTACACATTGGAGCAACGATGCTGTTCGCGAGGACCTCGACCGCCCCAGTGCAACTTTGGTTGCACATGTGTGACAGGGTGTTGGGACTTTAGGCTTGTTTGTGTGCTCAGGTCGGCCAATCTAGAAACTTCGAGAAGATGTAGTCACTCCTGACCCCAAAATTGGTGGGTTCCCGGACCAGGAACCCGCAGTAAGGTTTACAGAATCCTTTCCTCGCACGGCCCTCACAGGCCCAGCGCATCAAGCAGCTGCAGCAGGTCGCCTGCCTTATGTGGTATATGATGCAGATCTGAGAGTGTAATGTTTCATGATATTCAGCAACATGAGTTTGTGGCCGCCGTCACGTCTTTGCTACCAACGGCGTTTCTACGGGTTTTGCACGACTGGTCTTTCTGGGGGGTGGTCCCAGGAGTCCACCCGCACGCCCGCGCAGCTTGCTGAGCGCTACGGCCGGGGACTCAGGTTGTCAGGACTCGTCGTATGTTGAGGAGCTTGTGGGTTAGAAGGTTAGAAGTTGAGGCTTTCAGGCTGCAGGTAGGTTCTGGGTTTGGCGGTGTTTGGGGTGGAGCCAGGATGTCGGATCTCAAGGGTTGATGTTGAAACAAAGTCTCTGGGATTCGTTGGTTCAGGCGTGAAGGTCCAATGATTTAGCTGACCTGACGTCGAAGACCAAGACATCTTTGGAACGGAATCTGTCCATGAACCCTGAGGCCCTCAACCCTAAACCTTATATCCTAGACGGTCCTACACGCTGAACAGTTCAACTTCGAGAGTGAGAGATTTGGCACCTCTCCAGTCTTGGATTTGTGCAGCAACGAGAGCAAGTGCAGACTCCTGTCGGGGTAGATGACGATGCCGGAACCCAACACCTTCAATAACACCCAAGACTCCAAATCCTTCGTAGGTGTCGGGCGTGCAGTGCCAGTTTCAGCAACCTAGCTGCATCTTGAATACTCGGGTTCCGATTCCGGAGAGGTTCCGACCTGCTTCAACCGACAGTCACGCTCTTCTATTGTTAGCAGTCAGAACGCGATCGAGTAGTAACCGCTTGCTGACTTGCACGGCAGGACGTCTTCTGGACTTCTACAACGATTTTCAATTTAGGTGCGAACCAGTGCCCCGGCCTATCGAGGGGTCAGTCGAGAGTCCATCGGTCCTTGCGCAGAGTCTCTAGAGACGATACTAGGCTCTTACAGACTCTTAGTGGGAGCGATGGGTTTGCTTGCTCGCATCTGGACATAGCCATGCTGACAGGAACCCGGACATGTCAAGGTAGACATCGATTCTTATCTTGAGATGGGAGAGTACTCGGAGGGCCGAGTAGGGAGTCTCAGAGCGGGGTATTTTCCAGGTCGCAGTTTGACTCGCGCATTTTCCTCTTCACGTGCAACGATGCGCCTTCTGCAGCACGGGAAGAGCTGGCGGCAGCACGTACCCGCGTGCAGGCGCAGAAAATAGAATTGCAGTCTTGGCACTCCGTGATGCTTTCGAGGGCCTGCTGAGATTCAGAGTACCATATTGCTATGCACGCAACCGTTCCACACCGCTTGAACCCCCGCTTACTCTCGACAAAGAAGGTATTTCTGCCCTGTGCAGGATCTGATGGATATGGGTGTGGTGGTGGAGTTCTTCCCCCTGCACTTCCCCGATCAGGACCCGTGTAGCTAGGTTTCACGACACAGAACTACAGATGGCAGCTTAAGTTTCAATGGGTGGAAGTTCTGGCCGGCTTCGAGACCTTGTAATTTATCCACAGCTTCACCGTATTGGTATTCCGACTAAGCAGGAGGGAAAGGGCTTTCAGAAGCAGAAAAAGCATCCTGAAAAACAAGATCCCAAGAGCCCCAAGCCGAAAATGCACCCGAACACAGCAGATGCTTGGTACTTCAGATTTGACACAGAAGCAGTACATCTAGGGCATGGTGCTCGTAATCTTAGGGTTGTATAGGGGTTTAGGGTTTAGAGCCGTTTAGGGTTTAGGGTTTAGGGCAGAAACTTCGGCTTGCGGGGTTCCGGGCATAGGGCGCTTAGGGCTTCCGTTTTCGGAGCTTCATGGCTTGGAGTGCAGGTCTTTGGTTCTAGGGCTTCGGGTTTAGGGCTTTAGGGCTCGTGTCTTGAATGTGTTGAAAATCTCGGCGTGGCGTAGCATCCTGTTCTGGGGCTCCATGTTGGTCAGTGGTCTTCGGAATCGTGGTGCCAAGCCTAACCCGCAAAGCCCAGAACCCTCACTCTCCTCGAGCCCTGAAGCCTTTCTACTACAAATCACTCACAGGAGAGCCACATTTGAGGGTTTGGGAAATCTGTACCCCTGGACCCGAAACCCTGAAACGACGACCAAACCCTACACCCGTAGCCAGGCTTACAGGTGGCCACGGTATTTCTGAATCGCACCTTGGCAGCTCTGCGTGGGAAGGCTTCTTGAATCTCAGGTCGGGTTTAGGCTTTGGCATTTAGCCCCGATTATCAAGCAAATTTTAAGGTAGTGCGACTCTTGCCCGAAACCCTAAACCCCTAAACCCAAAACCCTAAACCCTGAACCCCCAAAACCCTAAATCAAGAATCACTTCCAGGCATCCTCGGCCGGACTTCGCACGCTGTGGTGGCCCACGTAGAAGCCCACTCCCAGACCCCGGTATTGCACCTCGGCAGAACGGAGCTTTGGGACTCCGGGAAGTGCTTGGGACTGAGGGTGGTGGGCCTGGGATTTAGGGCCGAGGGCTTAAGCCCTAAACCCTAAACTCCGAAACCCCCAAACCCCTAAAACCGTAAACCCTAAACCCTAAACTCCGAAACCCTAAATCCCTAAACCCTAAACCCTAAACCCCTAAACCCTAAATCACAAATCCCTAAAACCCTTAAAGTTTGCGAGGGTTTAAGGCACCGAAGGTTCGGGGGAACTTGAGATTGGAAGTACCACTCGGTTCAACACCAACCGGGAAGTGTCCCGGGACCCAGAATAGGGAGGTTCTCTTCTTTTTTTTTTCTCTCTCTCCCTCCCTCTCTCTCGCTGCATCTCTCTCTCTCTCCCTCCCTCTCTCCCTGTCTGAGAAGCTTTTGTTCTATATCGCAGCACGCGTTCGCTGCAGGTCTACTGCAGCAGCCCCTATAGTACTCCTTAAAGCAATCGATACAGCAACACTTGTTGCAGCCCGTTTCCGAAACCCTTAAACCCTAAACCCCCAAACCCCAAACCCCTAAACCCTAAACCCTGAAAAGCCTAGAACCTTCTCCTGGCCTGAACGGCCATGACCACGGTGTTGATCAGGATGGCAAAGGCGAAGATCACCTGGAAATCAAGGGCTGTTGCCTAGGGACTGAAGGAGAGACCCTTAAAGGGACCCTTGAAGTTATAAGCTATATAGCGGCTTTATGAGACTATATAAGGGTTACATAGGGTATTAGCATTAGGGGTGCCTTCTAGGGGTCCCTCCTATTGTCCCTTAATGTTGCTTTCAGAGCGCTGACGGCCGAAGATCGAGCTTGAAGCTCGGGAGTTCAAGGGCTTGGAAAGTGAGTGATTGGGGAACTGGTTCTCTAGGGTTTAGGGTTTAGGGGATATCGTTAGTGTTAGCTCTTTGTTAGTGTAATTGTTCATGATTCATGTGCATGTTCCTGTTCATGCGATTGTTAGCGTTGTTGCTGGAATTCTTGTTCTTGCTCTCGTTCTCGTTCTTGTTAGTGTTCTTGTTCTTGCTACTGTTATTGTAATTTATGAATATTGGAGAAGGCTCAGGGGCTTGCGGCTGATAAGTTCCGCACCTCGAACATGGGCGACGCCACCAATCGGGCCATTCTGCCCCGCCAGCCCGTGCCTTCGGCTTGCAAAGGTTTTGAAGGTTTGGTGGTTAAGGGTTTGGGGTTTAGGGCTTGTAGAGCTTAGGGTTTAGAGCTTAGGGTTTAGGGTTTAGGGTTTACGGTCTAGGGGTTAGGGTTCAGGGGTTTAGGGGTCTAGGGCCGAAGGCATGGAGCATTTCCGGCTCGAGGCCTGGGGAAGGATTTGGACTCCACGGCTGTTGTGCTGTCAAAACCTCCAGAGAGTATATCTAGGGGAGAATAGGAGGGACCCCTAGACCCCTAGAAGGGACCCCTAATCCCAATACCCTGTATAACCCTTCTTTACCCCTGATCCCCTTTCAGGGTAGCTCCCTTAGGGAGCTCGAAGCCTTGAACCTTGCAAACCTAAGCCCCAAATCCTAAAATGGGGGGCCGAAATTACTCATGTGTTTTTTTTGTGGGGGGGGGGATGGGGAGTAAATTACACCATGCCTTTCGTTAGGCACTTGAACATTATTAATGGACTGGTATAACAAATTCTTCCTAAACCCTCAACCCTAAACCTGAAACCCGAAGACCTCAACCCTAAACCCTCAACCCTACCCTAAACTTTGCCGTAAACCTAGACCTTAAGCCCTCAACCCTACACCCTAAACGTAAACCCTTACCCCAAAACCCTAGGCCTTGAACCCAAACCCTCAACCCGAAACGTTGAACCTTCAACCCTCAACCCCTAAACCCTAACATATAAACCCCAAAGCCCCCAGAGTCCTAAGCCCTAAATGGAAAAAGGCACATAAGCAAAAATTAGGATAGGGATATGCCATATAAACCCCCTTGTAAGGAAGCCGAATAAGGTAGGGATATCCCCATAAAATGCTTATGCTTATGTCCTTTTTTGGGTCCGGCCCTCGATCCGAGCGGCGAGTCTCCGTCTCGGAGGTCTGGTTCCCGAAGTTCACGGTGGTCAAGCTTCGACTGGGCCCCCGGGCATAGGTGGCTTCCGGTGGTTTCGGGGTTTTGGGGTTTTGGGGCTTCGGTTTAAGGGTTTCGGGTTTAAATCGGTTTAAGGCTTTGGGGGCTTGGGGCTTAGGTGGGTTTAGGGCTTAGTCCAGGGATAGGGTGCTGGAGGCAGATTTACAGGGCTTCAAAGCGCCTGCTTCGAACAACTACCATAGCAGGGCTCCCTGCAAGATCCTGCATTTCGGGTTGTGCATTGGATGCATGCACGGCTTACCTGCAGATTCCACGCCACATACCCCTTACCCTAACTGAGAGCGCGCAAGCACAGCTGCCAGATACGTGAAGCCAAGTCGTGACCCTGAACCCTAAACCCTTAACCCCAGGCCATGAACCCTAAACCCCAAGCCCCCAACCCTAAACCCTAAACCCCTAAACCCTGAACCCCTAAACCTGAACACTAGAATGGCCCTACAAGCTCTCCTTCGGGGAGGTTGTGAGCTCTGGAGTCAGACTTCGATGCTCGATATCAACATGGAGCTGTTTTTACAAAGCCACGATTCCTGCTACCACCACGAGTGCTAGGTGTGCTGTTGCTGCTTTTGCTGGCGCCTCATTACCTGTTTGAGGCGCTTTTGCTTGTCCTCCTCCTCATACTACTTAGGGTTTAGGGTTTAGGGTTTGGGAATTAGGGTTTCTGGTTGGGGGCTTGGGGTTTGGGGTTTCATTAGGGCTCACGGTTTGGGGTTGTGGGCTTAGGGTTTGGGGGTTTAGGTGTGGGGTTTAGGGAGACGGCGACGAATCATCTCAACCGCCTGCGCAAGAAATTGAGGCAAGGAACATCCCCCGGCTCTGCCGACTCGAGGTGGCCATGAAGGCCTGGTAATGTCGGTAGGGGCCTTCATAGTTAGAATAGGGTTTTGGGGGCTCCTTCTTCGAATTGTAGGCATTAGAATAGGGTTTTGGGGGCTCCTTCTTAGAATTAGAGGTATAATAGACCCCCAAACCCCTATGCTAATTGTGAGGCCTCTATATTAGGCTGAGACTGCCTAGATGCTTCGGTCCTTCAGGACTTCGCCTTTAAGGAGTTGCGGCTGAGAGGCTTGGGGGTTTTAGGTGGACTGTCGAAAGTCTTGGATTTATTATCTGGGGGCTTCCAAACCTAAACCCTAAAATTCCGTGGTTCAGTTTTGGGATTGATCTTCGGAGTTGGCAGAAAGACAAGGGCCATGAGCAAACAGTTCGGGTTTATAGGGGAGTGTATCGGGTTTGGGGTCATGTCAGACTGCCTCGGTGTACATGATACTATAATTATAATAAGGACCCCCCCCAAAAAAAAAAAAGAAAAACAAGAGTAACTCTTATGGCCCCTATATTACTTCGCTTCAAGCGCCAGGGTCGGTGGCAACTGTTACTGACAGCCAGAACTGCGCTTCGCATTGAGTGACCTTTGGGCCTCTGCGTCTGATCCCCAAACCTGACACTCGAGGTCCACAAGCCAAAAATGTTGAACTCCAATAGCTTGCTGTTGATGATGGAAATCCTGCATTCCACCTTAAGGACCCTAAACTATGGGATTTGTGGTATATTCCTTACTATGGGTAATGCAGGATTTATAGCATCAACCGTATTGCACCCTAAGTAGCTAAGACCTAAAACCTCAATCCTGAAACTCTGAGCTCCCACACCGGAAGCTCTGAATCCATTCTCAATCCTCAGGCCTTCGTCTTCGTGCCCGGATCCATCTTCATCTTCTGACGGAAACGCTGAAAGAAGGCAGACCTCAGCATCGGAAGCTTTGCGGCTTGAGACCCGATGCCAATGATTGAAGGCCCGTATATTACTCTATTAGACCCCGAACTTCTCGTCAGACTCAGAGACATGAAAACCCCGGCCAGCATGTGAAAGCACCTGGGTGCTGCTCAAGCGCGGGC